GCGTACTACAGTCAAAGGATTTAACTATCTATGCCCATCGTCAGTACAATAGTCAAATAAGTATAGACTATAAATTGACACCGGCTCTCTTCGATACGTCCATAAACCGGCTAGTTAATCTGAAGTACCGCTATGCTCCAAACACGCTTCAGTCTACAGATCTGGAAATCACGAAGATTGAAGACAAAATCAAACAGCAGAAGGAAAATGAAGCTCTACCAAGTACGATTTCAACACACGATGTCCATCTATACGCGATCAGTTACATTCTGTTGGCGTCAGCCATCGTGGCGGTACTTGTGGTGGTTTGGAGGAAGCTTTGCCCCCGCTGTTGTAAGAAAAGGCACAAAACTTCAACTACAGGACAACCGCAGCAGCATAACGATATTGAACTGCAAATTATGCGTAAGAGGAATTACGACGACCAAAATGAAACAGCATCGCCAAGCAAGGAAACCGGCGTGGAGGCTCACTCTGAGACACGTCGCCAACAACGCCTGAAAACCGGAACTAAGAATATAGCCTTCAGCTTCGACTAATTAATAATATTTTTTTGCTTTGTAATGGCTTTTCCTTCTCTCTTTAGTTACTGTTAACTCTCTGGGGTTGCCAAGATGTACGGTCTTCAACTGTACATGCTTTTTGATGACACTGCAGTCGGTACGACTGCGCGTCATTTTTACCTAATTATAAATACACGGTTGCTACACACACCGACTAGTGTGCATTTTACAACAATACCACAAACTACTTAAGAGAAAGGAATAGTCAATATCGACGAACTAGTGTAACTATCAGTAATACAACTTTACTTCTTCAACTACAACTTCGTGTTCTTTTCTCTTCACACTCCAACAATTAACTACAATCTGCAAGTGTACGAACCGTACAGTACTCGTAAAATAATTAGGACTGCATTTTATTTTTTATGTGAAATTGCGAAAACAATTAATAAAAAAAAACAATTTGCATTTCATTTCTTAATGTAAGAAAATAATTATATAGTATAAGACTACCTGAAACCGACCGTGATTTCGTAATAAACATAGCCTATGTTACTCCTTAGTACATTAGCTAACCGCCAGTAAAAGTCTCGTCAAAATCGGTCCAGCCATTCTAGAGATTAGCCAGTACAAACAGACAGACAGACAGACAAAACTTGTAAAAAGTGTTATTGTGGTATGTGTATCGTATGGATAGGTATACATAGGGTACATATGTATACCAAATAACCATTTTTTATTTATATGAATATTCAAATGCATGTAGATATGAATATTCATATGCTTGTAGAAAAAAAATGTTTTTTTTTCAATAAGTATTACAAATAAACACTCCAATTTTATTTATCTGTACAGATTTTTTTTAAGGGGGGAAAATCATCGAATGACTGCTCCCGCCTGGGTGAGGCGGGAGGGAGTGTCAGACTCTTACTGACTAAAAACCACCCCGTTCTTTCTCCTGCACGTCGAGCCGGAGCCCCGGTTACCCGTTAGGTTCTCCGCGACTCCGAATATATCTGTACAGATAGAGATTTCGCTGTTCAAAGGTCTAATCAAAGAGAATATATTTTCAATGGAATTCTATGGTCACATACGTATATGGTATATCGGGGCCGTAAAGGCTATTTTATTCTATACTCATATGACTCATTAAACTTTATATATGATCACTTTCATACGTACAATTCAATAGGTAATAATGTTTGTTTATTAGTTCTACTATCATCTATTTAATGAAATGCAGGTTATGTATAAGTAGTTAGGGTTAGGTACAACTTTATAAGTGCATGAATATTTGTATTAATTATCAAGATCTATAGCCGAAAGACGTTACTGCTGAATAAAGATATCTTCCTTAATATCCTCTTTATATCAATCAATGTATTTAATCCTATCTTATATTTTTGTGACGTTCAAAAGTGCCTTCTTGGTGTATTTGAAATAAATGATTTTTAATTTTACTTTGACCTTAAAATGAAGCTGGATATAAATATTTGCTTTGTAATTTAGTCTTATATCTTAGAAGTTTAATTTATCTTTGATCATTATTCCAGGATTATCTTTCCAGGATAACATTTCTAAGATTGTCTAGACATCAGTGACAGACGGTGAAGGTACGGTGAAACCTGAGCTTATAATTTCTAATTATAAGTTTGTAATCGCCAACCCGCATTGAGCAAGCGTGGTGATTAATGCTCAAACCTTCTCCGTATGAGAAGAGGCTTTGCTCAGCAGTGGGTATTTATAGACTGTTGATGATAATTATTCCAGGGCATTTCGAACAAAACCAAGCAAGGCAAACACCTAGCCAGAATACACACACATAACACGCAAGTACCTGTATAACACTCATAAACAAAAAAATATCGATACAACACTACATTAACAAACTAATAAATCTTTAATCAAAGTGATAAACATAATTAAATTTTTTTTCTATCTTTACCGATCTTCTCACGTTTCGTTAATCTTAAACCGGACATCAGATATTTATCTAAGGAGATTTCTATCGCAAAATAACTATAATGATGACTCCATTTCGAAGACTTGTAGGTCAAGTAAAATGAAGATTATCGTTCTAAGTAACGGCGTTTAAGGGAAAGCTGGATTACAGTCGTAATGTAGTGTATAGTTGGATAAGGACTATGGTTTCGTGTTAATCGTAATAATAATGTATACCTAAATTTTGGGGATTTTTTTAAGGGGGGATAATTATCCAATGACTTCTCCCGCCTGTGTGAGGGGGAGGGAGTGTCAGACTCTTACTGACTAAAAACCACCCCGTTCGTACTCCTGCACTTCGAGCCGGAGCCCCAGTGACCCGTTAAGTTCTCCGCGGCATATTTTGGGGATTTGGGAATAAAATTCGAGATGGGAATAAACAAGCAGATCGATTATACTCTGGTGGTAAGTGATTAGCACCACTAATGCCCAAATTTTGATCATATTATTAAAATGAAGATCATAAAAGTCGTTTGTCAACCACAAGGAAGATAGAGGCATTTTATTTCAAAGCCTATAAAAGTTTGTCGAAAGCAGTTACCAGGTGAGAAGGTAATCAAGCGCTGACCTATCAAGCATAAAAAAACCCTTCCATCAATCAAAACTAGAGTGATACACATGATGCAATAGTGCTTCCTGTCAATGCTTCATATTTTTTTATCCTCTCAGAAAACTTAAATTACACACATTTAAATTATTTATCATAGAAAGGCCTATTTATCTAATAGAAACAAAGTATATTCCCTTCTATACTTAGCTTCTGTAATAGATCCATTATAACAACATCCACAAACTTAACAAAAGGTCTTTATAGACTAATAGCTTGTTAGAATAATATTTTAGCAATACCACACAAGCCGGAAATATGCCTCGAGACGCGAAGTACTTATTCTGACGAAATCTCACTTACCTAAGACATACCGTGATTTACGAAGCTCTGACATTTGGCATAATTGCCATGTGAAGATTTTGGTGATAACATAACATCACGCCTTTTATCTCCGGAGGGGTGGGCAGATGTGCACATTACAGCATTTAATACAACTGTACAATATAACACCTACTTTTCACGATTTATGTTATGAGTCTCATGTAATAGGAAGTGAGCGTATTGCCATTTACCGGGCACTATTCCAGACTCCGTGCTACTACTGACATTTTTTTAAAAACCCAGTAATACTTTGCCCGACCCGAGAATCGAACCCGAGACCCCTTGTCCATTTTTGTGATATAAAAGTTCTACCGACTGTAATCATTTATTCCAAAAAATGGAAAAGTAATGTAACAAGGATGTGCTCTCACCCTTAGCTGATTGTAGACAACAGATGCTAGTAGCTCTACAAGAATCAGACACTCCCTCTCGCCTCAACTGACCGGGATGATTTCCACAAGGCTTCCACAGTTCCACCCTAAAAAAAAAATAGCTACAAAAAAGTTAATATTATGAATTGACCCCAAATTAGATTTGAATTGAAAATGGAATAACTTTTACGTCACAAAGAAGACATTTAAAAAACAAAATGGAGTTTATTCAATAAACGCCACGTATTAGCTATTTGAATCAGTAAAATTAATATTTAAATACTCGTGAGAAAGTATAAATTTACGCTGAATATCGACTGGGAAAAACTTAGTACTAGCGAAGTTATGAATAAGTGATCCGGAAAGTAATAACTGGCTTTATTAAGAACATCTGTATGTACGTATTATTCATTAACATGCATGTTGCTACTGTTTGTTTGTTTCAATGACCTTGTTCGCAAAGCACCGCAGGGAGCCACTGAATGAAGGTCACTTCGTTTAAGGAGCAAATTAAGAAGCACTAGGTACCTCTCTTCTCTATAATGTCATCATCAAACTGTTTCCTTTTATGTGATCCATAATTATGGTATACTTAAGTGTAACCATGTATGTATGTATGTATGTATGTGTATATGTATGTATATGTGTATTTATGTATGTATTTATTACTACTTTATTTATTAATTTTCTTAGTACACAACCGGTCTAAATATTTCTTTTTTATTATATCCACCCAAAGGTTGTCTGGTCTGTCTTTCTGTATGCACAAAGGCGGTCTTATCACTTAGGTATAGTGATTTCTCTATAAGTGATAAGACCACCTTTGTGCCCATTATTATTTTTATTTATGTTTGTCATTTCCTTTTCTGTATGTACTATATTATTAATGGTGTACAATTAAGTCTATTCCATTTATCTTCGAACCGGCTCATCTGGAACACATTGGAAATTCAGCACTATCCAGCGCTGAATGTTAGCCTCTATTGTAATGATGAAACAGCTAAACTATGTTTTTGAGGGACTTTCAGCTTTCTAATAACTCCACTAGTCTTTTTGTCAATTTGATTTCTTTTAATCCAAGTAAAGTTCCCACCAATTAATACGTCCAAATCAGCTTTACCGTATTAGCATAGATTAGTAAAATTATAGAGGTCAACAATTTGTTTACCGATATTAAAATATTGGTCCGGCAATCAAAAGTCAACAGGTAATACTTCAACCAAGTATGGTGATTAATAATTGTAATATTTTCTCAATAAACTCATGTCAAATTAATTACTCATAGGCTTGTAATCCGTGTTTTCTAAAAATATAAATATGATCGGTTAATCAGCTGTCATATGTTGTATGTTAATCAGTGTATGTCATAACCACAAATGAAAAAGAGACTATATATGAAGTATAAGAATAAGAATAAGAATAAGAATAATTTATTTAGCAAAACAAAGGACAAGTATACCTATTATTTAACAGAATGCGATAATGAATACATAGAAATCACAATCACAATTGCAAGGTAGACCAAAAAATACTAGTTTATAATGTATACATACAAGTTAACATAAGCAGTGTCATTTCTGTAGTATCAATAATACACAGCAACAGCAATCCTATAATACACCTTGCAAACAAAAGTAATTTAACTCAGTAATTCACAAGACAATAAGTTTGATACCAAAAGTGTAATAAATGTCCACAGACGGTATACGTAGATTTTTTACTTTACCTCCCGT